CATGAAATGACGAATCTTCACGACGACGATGTCGATCAGTGTACTTCTAAAGAACCCGAAGAGCCTGTGCCTGAAGATAAGCACTCGAAAGCACTGAAAAAGAAAGGTGGCCGACCCAGAAAAGAGGATCTGATGCAGGTTCGACACTCGAAACTCGTTTATGGTGAAATTCCAGTTTGTTTTGTGAAGTTTCTAACTTTCTCGCTTTATTCTGATCGATCGAGCAAGATCAACAATTTCATTCACGAAATCAATCGAACAGACCATTTTGCTCCTTCATCAGTAAATAAGATAAGCATCTTTAGAAGCTCACTATATTTGTATTCCAAGACGTTCACCATTCACATCATATGAAAGTGCGCTCGTTTACAATAGTATAGTACTGGATATTTTGATGAAGAGAAATTACCAGTTTACGAAAACCAATCCAATTGAGAACAATTAAGTCATCATGGTCGAGATTGCAAAGCGATTGTGAGCGTACAGTTAGCGACCAAATTTTTGCTGCTGTTTATAGCAATTTATAAGAACAAAGTAAAGAATATTTTGTTGCGAGACAGCGCATCATTAATGCTTACTATTCCATGCATTCATTGAATAATATTCAGGATGACAGTGAAGAGCTGAGCTTGGAGGCGAAACTAAAACGCGATAAACGACGGAGGGATAATCTGCTTGCAGCGGCACGATATCGACACAAGAAAGACGAACGAATCAACGAGTTACGAAAAGGGAATGAACAATTGACTCGAGTAAGCCAGACACAGTGCTATAACAATCACTTCGGTATTTCAGTAGTCCATGCAGCAGAACAGTTCTCCAGCTCCCTTTAACGACATACAGTTCTATGCAAACTGTGGACGAATTTACTGGATGGATTTGAGCTGAATGCAAGTCACAGGAAATTTCAATTTGCACTCGAAACAAATGTAATCATTAACAGTGAATTGCGGCCTTTAGATGTTTGTCGCGTTGACAGCAGCGATCATCTCAAGTAAATTTTTATCGGTCACAGTGTTCCATGCGCATTCATTTCATCCACCTACTGTACTTACGTATCTGAGGGAAGAAAAGCCTCATAGTGATGATCACTTTCGATTGCCATGATCCTTATTTATCTATAATTGTGGAAGTGAATTGCGTTTGATGACGAATTCAAGCAAATTTTCAACTTCCCCTTTCACAACAATAAAATTAGCCTCAACAATGAAGTGGAATCATGACCAAATGATTGTTTTCATACTTGCGACCACTTCCATGTATAATATTTCAGCGGTTGAAGGCTCTATCNGCCATTATTCGAGAGCTGCGGCACGAAATTGCTCGCGTTGAATCAATCTACAAGAGAGTTGCGGAGGAGAATATCGATGTGCGAACGGAGCTGGATAAAGTGACTCAATCTGAGTTGAACTGCAGTGAACGAATGCCTGATGAAATGGACACAGAAGTAAGTTCGATGCGTTTTACCTAGAGGTTTTCGATGTTTTACTTTCTTTCGTAAACTATAATGAGTATCTGTTCCTCAACCGATCATTGAATTAGATCATATCATCGCCTGCGTCTGATTTGTACAATCGTTATGTGATCTATCCAAGTATATCATGCATTCACTTGATTCACAATTTATCAGCAAGGATAGAAATATGCAAACGTTTTATTGAATCACGAAAGCGGGATGATTCCACGCATTTTGGTCGTAGACTTCACGAAATTTCAGCAGTCTTCCAGCTCAACTCCACCGCAAACAGCGCAGCCATCTCACGAATCAATGTCACCGTCAGGGTCTACACCGATGGAACGATGCGATAAACCTGCGAAAGGTGTTGTTGTGATACCGGCAACGGCAGTGATGCGCAATTTCCTCTTACAAAATCCATCCAGATCAATCCTACAGC